TTTATTCATGAAAGACAGAGAGAGAGAGAGAGAGAGAGGCAGAGGGAGAAGCAGGCTCCCAAGGAGCAGGGAGCCCGATGCGGGACTTGATCCCAGGACCCTGGGATCATGACCTGAGCCGAAGGCAGACGCTTAACCATCTGAGCCACCCAGGCGCCCCTCACCCCAGTTTTGTTTTCTGTCTTCTGTCCAGGTGTGGCAGGGCCCCTTTCCTTCCTTCCAGCCGCTCCACCTGGGAGGTTTCACTTTCTGTTCTACCGCCTTTCATTTCCTGCCCCCCGCCCCAGCCCCAGCTAGGGACACCTGGGTCCTCTGGACATTGGGTAGGGGGTACCCTCCCTACCTCCAGCTCCGTTGAGCCCTAGCCTTCCCGCCTCTCCCCCTCCCCCGCAGGAGTCCTAAGTCCCCTTCTTCCAGCTGGCCCCACCCCAGTGGCTGGGCCTGGAGCCAGGTAACAGGGACAATAGATCCAGGAAGGAAGCTGGGGTGGGGTGGGGGCTTAAAGGAGGGGGTGTTCACTTAACCCCCTCGCCCCCTGGAAAATTCTAGGTGCTCACACGCCCAGAGCCACTCTCCCTCCCACCCCAGTTTCCCAGTCCAGCCACCGAACTCCATCGGAGCTCTTTCCTAGCACACCTGGGGCTCTGGCACCCTGCCCGCCTTCTCGAGCTCGGGAGGACACAGGCAGGAAGCTCAGGGCTGCGGGGTCTCTGTTTCCGGGGGGAAACTGTGGGCCCTGCCCTGGGAGTGTTCCAGACCGCTGCCGCCAAAGGCAGCTCTGAGCCTTGCCGTCACCACCTCTCTCTCCCGCCCCTCAGTTCCCCGAGTGTGGCTTCTACGGTCTTTACGACAAGATCCTTCTCTTCAAACATGACCCCACGTCGGCCAACCTCTTGCAGCTGGTGCGCTCGGTGGGAGACATCCAGGAGGGCGACCTGGTGGAGGTGGTGCTGTCGGGTGAGCGGCGGAGGCCCGCCTGGGGGCGCCACCTCTAGCGGGGGCGGGACTTCTGGGGTGGGCCCAGAAACATGCTTCTTAAAGTCAGGGCCAGTGGTTCCAAGCCTTGGTCGCAAATTAGAATCACCCCTGGAGCTCTGACAAACTGCCCCCCCCGGAATGGGTAAATATGTTGCGTGTGCACACGGTGAAATTCGCACAGCACCGAACGTAGGCGATGTCCAGCAACATGGATGAATCTCACAAACCTAACGCCGAAAGGCATTTGCTAGACATCAGACTACATATTGTATAGTTCCTTTTATGAAGCGCAGAGACGGATACAGTTAGAAGCGAGGAAGGCGGGTGCCTTCGCCAAAGGGCCAGTGTTCTCCCTGTCGGTGAAGGGCACCACCATCACCTGGGGGGCGTGAGGGAGATTTCTGGGGACTGATTTAAACTTCCATTTGTTTATCAGGGTGTTGGTGACACGGTGTGTACAGTGGACAGTTCACTGAGCCATGCACTGGAGATGTGTCTTTTTCTAGATGTATGTTGTACTTTAATACAGAGTTTTAAATGTTTCCTTCCCCAACTTTGCATAGGGCAATGCTCAGTAAAATGGGTTGAATGAATGGATGACAATTAGCAGAAGTTATGGCCCTGGTGACCTTATTCAGGTTTTAAATATCCTCATGTAGGCCGGCAACTCTTGGATTTTTATTCATCCTGATCTCCCTCTGCTAAATCCAAATCTCAGTCATGTAGCTTGTCCCCCTGACACTTTTATTTGGCAGCTCCAGGCATCTCAGAGATGGCCTCTCCAAGACAGAAATCTTGACTTTGTCCTCCTTTCTTCCAGCAGTGTTCTCCACCTTGGTGAAGGGCATCACCGTTCACTCAGGTGCTCATGCCCCAAATCCTGGCAGCATCCTTGACTCCTCCTTTTTCTCTCACCCCTTCACTTGATCTGTCATCAAACCAATTGGTCTTACCTTTAACATTCATTCTGAATGTATTTCTTACAGCCTCCTCTGGTTCAAGCAGCGATCACCTCCGGCCTAGACTGTTACTCACAAGTCAGATCCTGACACTTCACTGCTCAGAATCCTCCCATGGCTCCCCATTACCCTTGGAATAAAATGCAGACTCCTCAAATGGCCTTATTATGGCTGTCCTGATCTGGCCCCTGCCAGTTCCCTGGATTCACCTGTTACACTGTCCCCCTTACTTTCTTTGTTCCTGGCATGGTTGTCTGTTCTCTGTCCCTTGAATAAACTGAGCTGCCGCCCATCTCCGGGTGTGTGCACTAGTCTCCCCGCCCCATCTTCTCATAGCTAGCTCCTTCGTGTTGTTTGGATCTGAGCTTAAATGCCATTTCCTCCGGTGTCTGAAATTTCCTTCTCTGTGTGTTTATGTTCCCTGTCTGTCTCCCCCAAAAGAAAGTCAGCTCCTGGAGAGTGGGCTGTTCATAGCTTTACCCTGAGTGTGTAAGCAGTGCTTGGCACATAGAAGAGAGTCCCCTTTCTGTTGCACGATCACAAGGAAAATAGCTCAAAATTGACCGAAATTCGGGGGTGAGGTAGGAAAGAGGAGACTTAGTGCAAAAATGAAACTTTAAAAATAAAAGCCAAGATTTATTGAGGACTTTCAATGTGCTCTGTTTAAAGAGCACTGTTTAAAATTTTTAATTTTTAGGGACGCCTGGGTGGCTCAGTCAGTTAAGCATCTGCCTTTGGCTCGGGTCATGATGCAAGGGTCCTGGGATCGAATCCCACATCAGGCTCCCTGCTCGGCAGGGACTCTGCTTCTCCCTCTGCCTCTGCTGCTCCGCCTGCTTGTGCCCTCTCTCTCTTTGACAAATAAATAGGTAAAAATCTTAAAAATAAATAAATAAAATTTTAAACTTAAAAAAAAAACAACAAACATGGGGCACCTCGCTGGCTCAGTCGGTAGATTGTGCAACTCTGGATCTCAGGGTTGTGGGTTCCAGCCCCTCGTTGGGTGTAGAGATGACTTAAAAATAAAATCTTAAAAAAATAATAAAATAAAAAAAAGAACTCTGTTTTAAAAGCTTTCCATATATTAGTTCATTTAGCCCTTAAGAAAGAATCTATAGGGGTGCCTGGGTGGCTCAGTCGTTAAGCATCTGCCTTCGGCTCAGGTCATGATCTCAGGGTCCTGGGATCGAGCCCCACATCGGGCTCCCTGCTCAGCGGGAAGCCTGCTTCTCCCTCTCTCTCTGACCCTCCTCCACTTGTGCTCTATCTCTCTCCGTCTGTCTCAAATAAATAAATAAAATCTTTAAAAAAAAAAATCTATACAGAATACTATTGTGATACTGGGTGTGTTCTTTCCTAGACACCTGCATGGCTCATACCCTTGCCTCCTTCAGGCTTTTGCCCTAATGACACCTGAAGGGGGCCTTCCTCAACCACCTATTTAAAATTGTACATCTTGTACCTTCCCACTCTCCCTTCTCTGCTTAATTTTTCTCCTTAGCACTTACTGACTTCTAGCCTGCTGTATATATGTTTTTTTGGAGTTGTGATTTATTTCTTGAATATATATATATATATATATACTTATGTACATAATATATGCATAATGTGCAAATATATATTGAAATCCCAAAACATGTCACGATAATATGTTGGAACCTAGGATATATATATATATATCTATCATGATATATATATCATATATCATGTGAGCAT